TATTACATATATCATTAGTCAAGTTACAAGATCATAGTTTAGTTAAACACTAGCAAAAACTACCCAATGCAATATCCCAAAGGTTTCAAGGTACAAGTATCAAATATCTAGGATATCCTTATTGGCAACAAGGTAGACACATGCAATATGAATTAAGTGATTAAATGTGAATAGGTAATAAGGATGGTCCCATGCTATACTTGCCTTACACACCGATTCTTCGGTAAGCTTTAATCTTCACGTCCTTTTTCTTCTTCTAGATCACCACGTGTATCTCACCGACTGGACGTAATTGTAGAACACCACACAAACATCCATACACATACATGCATAGCATACAATTGCATCTATATTAGAACAATACATCAATCATAGGGAAATAAGTAAAAGAGATTGAAATACGATTCTACACATCGCTACGAACACACAGTCGTGAGAGGCACGCTAATCGGAGCTACGATTGAAAAGTTACAACTACCGAGAGATTTACTTAATACGTGGAAAAGAAACTATAGGCTTCATTTATGTTAACTATATAAATTCATATATAAAAGATATTTTATAAATAATATGGATTGAATTAAGTCAATTTTAGATTTGAATTATACAACAAAAGTAAATCAAATCATATTTTAGGTATAAAACCCAGTTACATAATCATTAATCAAGATATCATTTAAACCATGTTATTTTAGAAATAACAATATAGTAAACACTATTACTAACGCATAGATCTCGTCTCTACGAATCTAACGCAACTTCAACGGACTATTTCGGAGTTAAAATGAATAAGTTATGATTTAAACAAGTTTTCCTTTAATTAAATAATAGTTTAAATCTACCCATAAATTTTAAATATTGAAAACATGCCAAACAGTTGTATAAACATGTAAAAACGTAAATACGATTCTAACGCAATTCGAACGGATCAAATCAGACTTAAAATGATAAAGTTATGCCTAAACATGTTTGATGGCATTTATGTAATTAAATGAACTCAAATTTGAATTTGAACTAATTATTTCTGAATTTTAGATGCTAACTAGATGGCGCGCACTATTTTTGGAAACTATAACGTCCTAAACGAATAAAATCAAGGCGGATTTGTAATTCTTTTGAATTGATTTGGACTGCGGGTTAATTACTAAAGACTGCAGGGACTAATATGCAAAACGTGCATGGCTTGACCGCGGTTGACTGCGCTGCTGACCAAGGAAGACACATGGTGGCCGTTGGTTGGCGCGGTGCACCACGTGGGTGTGGGCGAGCGCTGACGCGGCGTGGTGGACCGAGTCCACAGCCGACGGTGGACCGAACCGTTACGTTCTAATCCTGACCATCCATCCAAGATCCGACGGCACAGATGTGATCGAGACAGCGGGCCACCGGGGAAGAAGCTCCCGACGGCGACGATATAGTCGGCGACTGCCCGAGCTCGTCGGTGATCACTGGTATGGTGATTCTAGCCATGCCAGACCAAGCTGAGGGCACGAGATCAATGAGTGCATCAACGCGAGTCCGATACGACCCAAAGGAGTGGCAGGGAAGCGCATCGGGACGACGGCCCCGTGGCGGCGCCATGGCCGGTGTGCCTGCAACTTGCCGGTACGGCATTCCAGGGCGTCAACTACTGAAACGGGGGCACGGGGAGACGGAGAAGCTCACCTCGAGTCGATTGGTCGGGATCGCGGTGTCCGGGAAGGGCTACGAAGGCGCAGTCGACGACGGCGGTGACTGGAGAGAAAAATGGGGCGCGACTGAGTGAAATCCGAGCGATTTAAGACTAAAACGACGAATTGAGGGTACCTAGATTCGCGGGAAAGCACGGTGGAGCTCCAGGAGACGTCGGCGACGGCGATTGAGCTCGGGAATGGTGGATTCGCCGGCGGCAGTGGCGAGCTCAAGCACGGTGGGGAAAAGGGAGAAGGAGGGGGTCGGCTCGGGTTTTTATAGGCCGGACAGGCGCGACGTAGAAGGAAGGAGAGCGGGGGCGCTTGGGCGGATTTGGCGCTTTCCTTGCAAGTGCGATGGACCGGCGACTTGCCGTTCGGGGCTGCGCCATTGCCGAGGCAGAGAAAGGAAGGAGCGTGGGGAAGAAAGGAAAGAAGACGCGATGCTGACGGGCGGGACCCGTGGGGCAGTGAGGGAGAAGGAGGCGACGTGCGGGCGAAGGTGCTGCTGCCAGGCCGATGCGGGCCGTGGTGGAGCTGGGCCGCGCGGGCGACGTGAAGCGGAGGATGGGAGCGAGCAGCGGGTCGCCGAGTTGGGCCGATGCGGAGAAGGCCAAGCGCGGGAGAAAACAGGAAGAAGGGAGGGCGGCTGCTGGCTGGGCCAGTTCCAGGGGCTGGGCTGACACCGGGAAGAAAGAAGAAAGAGGCGGGCCAGGTGGAAAACGTGGGCCTCCGGGCCAAAATGAGAGAGGAGTTTTTCCTTTTTTTTCTAAATCCTTTTCTTTTTCTAGTTTTCAAATCTAAGCCAAATTCTATGTAAATCGTATCAAATCCGAATATGTTTTCAACATACTTTTTATCTCAAATATAAATGAGAAATTTTGGTAAGTTTTCAAAAATAAATTTTACCATTTTTTAAATCCTCTTATTTTCAAAATTTCTTTTCTTTTATTTCGAAGCCATTTCTAATTTCATTTCAAAAGCATTCCAAATTACTTTGGAGTTTGGATCACACCATTCATCACAATAAATAAAATGCAACAGCATGTATGCTCACACATGTTACTATCTTATGATGAATTTTAAATTAATGAAAATTTTTATTTTTCTATATTTCATGTGCACAAAAATTCATAAATAAATTATTTTAGCTCTATTTCAAAAGAGGTAAATTTTAGGGTGTTACACCCCTCAACGGAGAGTAGGACTCAAACAAGTTCGAACTTCGGTAAAATAAATATCATGTCTCAATTCACAATTCATTTTATATTTGTGTTGTTCCAGCTCTTGTGCAGGTTCCTTGTGTATATTATCATCTCTAGTAGGTGCCTATAGTTTGGTTTGAAGATAGAAATCGAAAGGAGCAAGTTCGGAGCTGATCTGCAGAAATCGTGTATACCGGACACGTCCGGTATTAGAGCTCAGGGCTGAAATTATTTGATTTATGTTCTAACTTTGTGTTGTAGGGTTGTAGCTTCTAGATATATTCTTTATACCTTGTTTACTCTGTGGCTAACTTGTGAGGGGTGATATTACTCTTGATTTGGAGTTTTTATTTTGAAAACTCCATTTTCTAATTGTTTTCATATTTAAAGGTGTTAATTTTTAGAAACGCCTATTCACCCTCCTCTAGGCGGCATCCTATGTCCTTTCAGATCTAAACCTACCAACTAAACTTGTTTTGTAGGCATACTCCTCCGGTGGATAAAGTTGAATGTTTGATAGTGGATGTACAAATCATTATGACCGAAGAAAGGAGTATATTCTCATCATATTCTCCAATGACGCACTCAAATAAAAATATTGTGTTTGGAGACAATTTAAAGGGGGATGTGATTGGTCTCGGTGTAGTTGCTATAACCCTTGAGCATTCAATTACAAATGTATTACATGTTGATTCGTTGAGTTACAATTTGTTGTCCGTTTCTCAATTGTGTGAGATGGGCTACGATTGTTTGTTTACGGATAAGGGGTGGAAGTCTTTAGAAGGAAGAATTTCTCTATTGTCTTTATGGATCGATTAAAGAACAAGCTTTAGTGGCTAAGCCCTCATCTTGACTTGAGTTGAGTCTCTTGACTTGAGAACGAGGGAGGGTTGTAAAGCCCTAAGTCTTAGTGGCTAACCTCAAAAACGTGGACGTAGGTAAGCCTTGGTGACGAGCTGAACCACGGATTAAATCATCGTGTCACCTTATGCTTGATTTACATCATTTACATTTCATATTGTTGTTGAGGTGATTTCTTGGGTTTGTGGTCGATCTACTTGTGTGTTGTGTTCCTGTCACTTCTTGCTCTCCATCTACGAATCTCATACCTGCAGGAAGTTAAGAAATTTCTCCGATTCAAGTTTACATTCACTGATTTTGAACTGTGACTCAAAGTTGTCTGCAGTTGCGGCAATGCCGTTGTTCTGGCCCGGCAGTGCCGCTGTCCGGTAGTGCCGCGAGGTCAGAGCAGCAGTGTTGCAAGTTGAATTTGATGAAAGTTTTAGTGTTTGTTTTGACACGACTATTCACCCCCCTATAGGCAAACCAGAGATTCTACAAATATCATTAGATTAATTATAAAATATATTTTAATGATAAATTATTTTGGAGCGGTAAATGTGAATAGTATTCACTAGAAATTTAGTTAAATATGAATCGCTTTTAGTGGCACGCAACCTATAGTAGCATTATTTTCTAAACAGAGGGAATATCATTTTCCTGTATAGTGATGCAGGTGGGTCATGTCTGGTTGACCCAAAACTTGACCCGTACTAGCTAATCAATCATTTTTGGATAAAATTCTATTTCTATATCTTTCTACTCTTCATAGTTTATTTTTTTATCTCCTTCACACTTTAGAAAGTCAGTTCGTCTTCATCTTTGGCTAGCTAGTAATTCAAAATTAAAGATAACAATATTTATAGATCTAATTGAAGAAAATATTTAATGAGGTTTTTTTCAAAAATGTCTATTTCTATTAGTAAAGAAAGATGCAAAGAGATTCTTGAAATTGTTGTTAATTGAAGACTAGCCAAATGACGTGAGCTGTGCTTGTAGTGTGTAGAGGCAGAGCAAAAGCCAATTAAGATAGCGGCGTGGGTGCGGCGGGTATGGAGATGACACAGTTAGGTTTGTTCGCTCGTTGGTTTTAACTAATCTAAATTAATTAGTCAATAATATTTAATCAAATTTCTATGCTTTTTTATGCTCCATCTATACGTACAGAGAAAATATTTGGTTACTGTAGGACCCACTGTCATTAGCAGCGGCGCCGGGATCCCCATTCCTCCTGCCCACCCCTAAACCCTCGCTTCTCCCCCAGCGTTTGCTCATCAAGACCAAGATGCTCCGCCGCGCCGCCCCTACGACGGCCGCACTCTGCCGTCGCGCGCTCTCTACCACGCCATCCTTCTCCCGCACCGCCGCGGCAACGGCGGCGGCCTCCTCCTCTGCCGTGAACTCCATCCTCCTCCGCTCGCTCAAGGAGCACTACCTCGAGGTCTGCAAGATGACGCCGCCGCCCAAGGTCAGCCCGCCCGAGCCCTTCACCATCGTCAAGGACGCCCTGGACCAGCCGTCGGGACCCGTGCTGCGCCGCGAATACGGCGACGACGGCGAGGAGATCTCCATCTCCGTCGCCAGGCTCGCCAACATCCTGCCCGCCGGCGCCGACTCTGACTCGGAAGGTACCGGCGAGGGCGGTGGGATGAGCGCGTCCATCAGCCAGCTCTTCCTCCATGTTGATATCTCCAAGCCCAGGACAGGAAAGTCGATGCAGTTCCTTTGCGGGCTGTACCCGGACGCCCTTGGGATCCATTCGGTCTGCCTCCGGTCGAAGAACGCCGAGTCGTTTGACGGGGATATGGCTTCGAAGGGCGGTGGAGAGTACCGAGGGCGTATTTTCCAGTGAGTTCTTCTTCAAATGCTTGAGAAATTTTGATGGTTCGTTCGTCTTGTATTTGTTTCTTACAAGAGTTTGTGTAAGAAGATGTCTGGGCTTGTGGAATTTGATTTACTGCTCGAGTATGATTAATTAGGAGATGATTATAACTATGCAATACAGGTGTGACTATAAATTTAGATGTTAGAATAGGTGGACTGAGGACAAATTTTGTTTACTTGTTGTAGCTTATTCTGTGGCACACAGAATTCGGGTAAGAGTATTTCCTGCTATCGCCAGTTATTGATTTCAACTTTGAAGGCTTGAGCTCAAAGATGATATTTTTTTTATCTTATGTTGGATTGTATGCGATACGCCAGTAGACAATTCAGGTAGCCAGTGGCTTTAATAAGATGTTATTTTTGGAAGTTTGGAATTGATAAGAAGAAAACTATCATGCAGTGGGTTGATATATTCTGTTTGCATGCCCCTGTTGAAATGTGGTCTAAGTAAAACTTTTTGGTACTTTTAAAAGTAAATAAAATTCTAGTATTACCACTAAGTGTGAAAGAATTTTAGGTGCATTGGCATGCGCAAACGGGTCTGAACGGGCATATTCATTCTGTTTCTTGACAATAGCACTTTTCAGAGACTACTAGCTAGACCATGGATTAACAACTCCAAACACAAACATTTCTACTTAACTTTTACTTGCTTGGTTAAACTAAAGAAAATAAATCCTTTTGATAAACGAAATAAATGCAGCAACAAAATGACAGATATTTAGATAAAATAAACGGAAGTGTTGTGTCTATGTAATAATGATTAGGGCAGACCCAGTGCCGAAGGCTCCCACATGAGTGGGGTCTGGGGAGGGAAAACCCGAGGCAAGCCTTCCCCCCGCAAAATCTGCGGAGAGGCTGCTTCGAACCTGCGACCTGGTGACTCAGTGAGACAACTCTCGCCAGTGTCTATGTAATAATGATTGCTTCCATTATTTGTGATGCGTGATGAGATATTTGATGAAAGTATTGATGCTTTAAGGGAAATGGTATTGCTTATACACACAGCTTGTTTATGCAATGCGCAAAATATCATAAAAAACATATTGACTCTGCACTGATTCATTATCTAAAACTTGATTATTGATGAGAAAAACTTAGGATATGGCAATGTCGAGGACAACTCAGCATTTTGTGACTTTATAGCTCAGTTACATGTGGCCATGTATGGTTCAGGGGCTACATGTGAATATAGGACATTGAGTCACAAATTCTGAGTTGCAGTTGGAACGAGTGTCATATCCTGAATTATTCCCATTGTAAGTTGTAACCGATTGTAAACTGTAGTAGGCAATTCAGATAGAATATTTGAAACTTATAGAAGGATACAACCTAACCTCTAAGAACTATTCGTATCCCAATAGGTAATATTCTGGCTGTATGCTACCTATTGGACCTGCCCCAAACTGAACTGAATATAGAAGCCTTTCAGTATACAAGCATGCTCAGAACTTCAAATAGGATTATTTATTATTCTTTCATGTCCAATTCCTTTATTTCAGTGACTATTTAGTATTTACACAATGTGATTGGCCCTGCCAACATTTCTGGTGAATTTTAAATGTTGAGCTAGCTAAATAAATAGATAATTGTGCATAAAGTAGCAATTTATGCTATGGATATTTAGTTGCCAGTTAGCCACAAACAAGAGTACTTTAGTTGTGACTGCTCTGGTTAGTTGACTCAAATGTTAATTGACGGGCCAGTTGGTGAAACTACTGATGTCATAAAGATGTTGGCTGCAGATAAATGCATGTGTCTCCTTAGCTCCTATGCAATGTTCTGTGGCAATGCATAAAAAGCTACTGAAAGTAGTGGTAATCCTCTGTGTGTTAACTCTTCTTTACCCTGTCCACCAAACTTTAGATTGACTAGATTTGGTTCATGTGGTGGTGTTAAATTTGGATGATACAATACAAACAAAGGATTAAGGAACACATCGCGTGTGTTAACACACTACTTTCTACTGATTATATTTATATGTTTTTTGAATGGACAGAGAGTTGGATGAAAAGGTTCGTGATGCACTCCATCTTTACATTGAAGCCCGAGGCATAAATGAGAAGCTCTTCCGTTTTCTCCAAGCTTGGCTTTATGTAAAGGATCACCGCAATCTTATACGCTGGTTCAAGAGTGTTGGTTCATTCATCAGTGAGCCAAAGCCAAAGTAAGGTACATTGCTGTCTTTGCTCTTTATCTATGTTGATTCATGTACCATTTCCATGTGGAACATCTCTGTTTTATCTATAACTAAGTGCCATGCTAAAATTGTGCCCGCTGTAGATGTACAATATTCACATATATTACTTCGCATCAACTTATCCAAGTATGCCTGCAGATTCTGAAAAGCAAAACAGTATGTTTTGCAATCAAGGTTGCTTGGTAGTATTGTTTGGAACTGTACACATGATGGGTGCTAGATAGAAATGCGATTCTGATTGCTGCCTTGCAATGTTTTCAAATCGTGATCGACCCTAGTCGCCATGGCACCAATCAGCCTGACTAACTGTGACTAATCATAGTGCATAACTGATCACCATAGCACTGATAAGCCGAACTAATCGTGATTAGTCGGACAACTTGATAACCTTGCTGCCTTTTTTTCCCCCCAATTAGGTGTCAAGAACCCCATGCTGAAGAATGAAGATCATCTGAAAGGCGGTTGTGGAGCAGTTTTCTCCAGGATGGAGAATAGTCATAGGATAAAGTGAATCATGTGCAAAGTTGCGCCAGCGAGGAGTTTTTGTTTATCTTTAGTTTTTATTCGCTGGGGGAATTAGTGGTGTGCTGAACGTGTTGCGGTGGTGGTTGCATTAGCTGTCATTAGTCCTTGTGATCTGCTACCCTATCATGCTGAGGTGGTTGTCAGATTCTCAATTATTCAAACTCCACACTTGTCCAGTGCAATACATCGAATCGCAAGAAGCACGTGTATAATTGAGATACCCTTTTTTTCTTCGTTCAAAGATCGCCTTGTATTGTCACTTTCAAAATTCGCGAAAGGGATTGTAGCCTAATGGACCAGAGCCTTGGTAGCAACTGAGGTCTTGGGTGATTTAATAGCTTTGAGGTTCTGGGTCATAGGAAAGGAATTGAGAAGATAGATAATGGATCAGTATTGATCTTCTCAAATGTTCCACTTGAGGCTGCTAACTTGCTAAGAGCTTCGCGTCATTAGCAATGAGGCACATTTGCCTCAATCCTACACAAAGGAAAGTAAAAAAAAGAAGAAGGTTGAACTCGATGTTTCTTTTTCTACAATCTCCCAGTGGAATGGGCAGTGCACATAGGAATTTTTCGTTCAATTTTTCTATGGTCCAATTCTCCGTTCCAATGGCACGAATAGCGCTCAATCCTATAGGAAACGAAATCTTCCATTCTTCCTCCAAAAATCCTCAAATGCAAAGGAGGCATGAACGTTTGGATGAAGCATAGGAAAAACACACGAAATCAATGAGTGCAAAGTTAATTTTCAATGAGGTTCAATCTCTTGGTAAAATTCCTCTAAAATTCATATGAAACAAGTCATTTCATAGGAGTTACATATGATTTGTAGGAACCTAATATTTGTTTCAAAGGGTTCGTAGAAATTTACCTGCAGGATTTCAATCCCCTAGAATTCTTCCACTTTTCCTTTGTTTGGGTGGGGCAAGAGCAAAATGAAATTGATTTATGATATGAGCATTCCTTAGGGCCCTCGTTGGAACATAGACTCAAACACATGAATAGGAAAACCACAAGATTAAAGTTGCATGCAATCCTACAAGAATTTAAAATACAAAAAAGTTTCTATTGCGGTGTTTTGGATGAAACACAGGAATTCTAAGAAAGCGAGACATAAGGAAAACTTCCATTAAGTTCAACCTCACGCTAGTTTCTCTCCAAAATTCTATAGGTTCATACATTCGGTAGTAATTTAAAGGAATTTCATAGGATTTCTTTATCCCAACATATATGAAACTGTTCTATAGGATTACAATCCACTAAAGGCCTTACTGTGTTCTTCTTATATGCTTTTTCTTTGTTCTTCGAAGGCCTTACTTTGTACGTTCTCATCTGAAATGTGAGCGAGAACTATCTGCCATCGTGCCCCGACCAAAGCAACACTGACAAGGATTGAGAAGTATGTAGTCTGAGATCGATAAAGGAATTTCATGACAGCTTGTTGCAGGCAAAGAGTTTCTTCAGTGTAACGCTTTGTCCGTGTACAGGTAACGACTCACAATAAGTCACAAGGCGCTTTCAGTCAGCAGTCAACTACACGATCTAAACTCGAGCAGCAGCAGAGCAGGTGCTCCCTTCCCACACGGAGAAAAGAATACGCATGCCACTAACCCAACCGCGGTAAAATATTCAGATGCAACAGTGCCACTGGGTAGGTTACATTACATGGGGATTACATTACGTTGCCAATCTGAAGATTAGTACTAGTAGACAGAAAATTTTGCAAAAGAACACGAGTAACAACAACCAACCTTGGTCGATGCTGACGCGCCACGGAATGGATTAGAGATGGACGAGCAACATCAGTCGTGTGGCGACGAATGGATGGGGACTAAAGAGAGGCTCGACCTCGTTGTCGTGGGGCTCGATGCTGTGCTATCAGTAGGCTATTACATGGGTACTACATGACAAGTGCTCAATGATAAACAAAATCTATCAACCACCAGGGGCCAGTAGACCTCACACTAGCAGTAGCAACTAACATGACACCTTACCAGCCCTGTAGTTGAAGTCCAGGATCCTGTTCATGCACATGCAGCAGGGGTGGTCACTGGTCAGCTTAGCTCGATGCATGATGTGTTTCTTAGACTTCTATGTAAATGGGAGACATTTCAAATGAGTTAAGTGGGGGAATCATGGGCACTTGCACAATCATGATATTTAGATATCTCATCACAATATCAAGTGACATGAGAGGAACCAAACTATATTGTTCACTTATGCTAAAATTTGGCTTATTCTGAAATGTTGTGAGAGAAAATACTATTTATTCGCTGAAAATTACTGCTGAAGTAGTGCAGCAGAACAGGGCGTGAGCATCTAATGAATGATCAGTTGCAATTCAACTGGAAGGACATGCATCACACATTTCATGATGCTTTCCTAGACTTGCACAGAGGCTCACTTGCAGTCATGGTATACAGATATATCATCCTACTATCCCGTAACAACAGAGCAACTAAAAGATGACTGACGATCCAATTAAAAACCCCATATACGTTGCTTACTCAGAGCTGTGTCTCGAACCAATCGGAAATCAGTGTCAACTGATAAGTAAGAACCGTCTTGTCATTAAGTTAGGAAACAATACACAGCCATGTTAATGCAGTGCAGTACAAACCAAACACATTTATTTCGAGAGTTAACAAAGGGTCAAACTGCAATTTTTGATATATAAGGGCACCTCAAAGCCATCTTGAGCTCCTAATGCATCAAACCAACACTTACCTTTCGAGAGGACACCATAAAATATACACATACTTTAACCAAAATCTGTTGTACAACTTGCTTGAACCCAGGAAAGAAGAACCAAAGCTCATGTATGCGCACGTGATACAGCCGCTCATTGCTTAGGTTAATGAGTACCACTCACCCAAGAAAGTTTCAACTCGGTATTTCTTTTCAAGTACCAGCTAAATGAAATTGGAAAGCATGCTTACACAAAAGTTGCTTGCTTCTCAGCAAAATCATATGAACTTAATGGAACGGTTATTCAGGCATTCTCAGCAATCTGCTAAGATCATCTGAAATCAACCCCGACTGCTTCCTGAACAGATTTGAAACCATCTCTTTCCAAACATTTTGCTACCTCAGCCTGAAAATGCCAAATGAGCTATTAGTATCTCATTAGCCTAATGACCAATGAATGAACATATTTGAGTCTTGTAAAGTGCAGCACACATTAGATGGAGTAGATGCTCTTTGGAAAAATATACCTATATCTTCTTGGAATCCTATAGTATTGGCTACGAAAATATCTTTTTTTTCTCTTCTAAAACATTGAATTAAGGACATAGTGATGTAAGACAACATGCAAGGTTCATATGTAACAATGGTGTTTAACTTATACTAACCTTTATTCTGGGTATAAGAGCTGGACCACCATATGCAAGAGCAGTATAAAGTTGAACAAGTGTAGCTCCAGACCGGATCTTCTTGTATGCATCCTCACCGCTGTAATTAAGTATACAGATTGATTGAAATTATGTGCATTGAAAGTGCAAAAGATTCAGTTAAGTATACAGAAATCCCATTACCTGCTCACACCACCACAGCCTATGAGGGGAATCTTGCCCTGCAAGAGATACACATCAGTTGTGCATGAACAAGGCTCCAATAACTAGCTATTTTACTAAAAGAATACAGCTGCTGAGCAGTGCAAAGATGCTTAAGCAAGGAAATGTAGTTTTCACGAAAGCAATAGGGGTAACATACGTACCCGTGTAAGCATATACATCTCCCTGAGAATGTTAGCAGATAAGTCAAACAAAGGTTTCCCACTTAATCCACCAGTCTCCAGAGCCAATGGATCTTTATCTGCAGGTGGTGGCCAGGAAACAGTGATTTTTGATATAATCTGTTTGGTCAACATCGATAAAATAATGAGCAGGATTAGCACAGTATTTATATGAGACAAGCACAAATAGGCATGAAAGTTACACAAGATTATGCTAGTCAGTGCTATGGCGAAATTAGTTGTGGGAGGATTGTTAACCTACCAGGCCATCCAACCTAAGTGCAAGAGCAACCTGGAATACATTGAGAAAAGGCATAAGATTCTCAATTATACGATGTACAAGTTTGTAGAACAAGGCTAAGTTCAATATGTCACCGCAGCAATATCCTCAAGATCCTGCCTAGACAAGTTTGGTGCAATCTTCACAAGCAATGGTGGAGGTCCATCTTCAGCCCACTGCATCTCATCTCGTGCAGCTTGCACCTGCACATCCAGTGTGAGCCATACAGATTTCCCATGCTAACGTAGCGAAGACACTTCAGTTAAAACAGCTACCCACCTTCTTCATAAGATCTTTCAGTTGTTTTCTACCTTGTAATTTGTGAAGACCAGGAGTATTTGGGGAAGAAATATTTATGACCTTCATTAAGAGTGGAAACATGCCTCATAATTAAACAAGGTCCAAACATTAAGTCCACCAAGAAAATCCATCAAACTTCCAATATTTCATGCTTTGAGACACAATAACATGACCAAAGTGTACTTAAGTAGCATTACTTGTCTAATAAATCATGAACCTGTGACTGTTCGACCAATGACACCAAGATCAAGTTGAAAAAGAAAATGTTCAGACATTCTGTTTCTCTGTTTGTCAGGCAAAACTAAATGAGAATGCATAAAATGAATAAATGCAAAATTTCTGGTTCTAACAACAGAATTTATCTGAACCTACAGCTCATAAGAAACCGGAAATAGCAAAACTATAGTGTGAAATTAGTATGTGCAAAGGACGGGTACCAAGTAATCAGCATATCTCCAACAACTAAAAAGACTAAAAGTAAGACTATTTTTTGGTGCGACTTTTTTTTGGGTCGCTCCTCCCTTCCGCCCATGCGATACCCCACGCGATAGAAAAAGAAACTGTCATCCTGCGATCCCCGTCTGCTTTGAAGGAAACAAATTGATCACCTGAGGCCACATGCATGGAAGGAAACAATAATCATGCATGGAAGGAAACAATTGGCAAAGATAAAGCAAGACTCCTCCCTTCCGGCCATGCGATACCCCGCGCGATAGAAAAAGAAACTACCATCCCTGCGATCCCCGCCTGCTTTGAAGAAAATAAATCGATCACCTGAGGCCACATGCATGGAACGAAATAATAATCATGCATGGAAGAAAACAATTGGCAAAGATCAAGAAAGACGACTCAATGAGGTTGGCCCTTAATTTTAGTGTTTCTAGCATGCAGACCTAAAATTAAAAAGTGGCTGCTCCTTGAGAACATCAGTGGTGCCAAATAAAAGATGTGCATGTTATACATGGTGAGACTAGTGAACCTTCTGCAATTTCCTAAACGAATATTCCCACCATTCGTATATAGGTCCATTCCCCTGCGTTTCTTCGTGCTCCAATTAGCATATAATCTCCTACAACTAAAAAGAACAAAATGTGGATATTTTTTTGTGCGACATTTGTTTTGGTTCGTCCGTCTGCCCACGCCTGCGATCCCACGACATCTTAATTACTGATTGATCGTGCCATTCTCCTTGATTGAATATTGCTTGTCATGTGATAGAGGAAGTAGAAAATTATTGTGCTATCCATATACACATTGCATGTTTCCATGCACCATCATACATGGCAACGAGCAAAAGGAAAGTGAATTAACACATAAGGAAAGAGAATTAAGACAGAAGGAACCTCTTTGCATTTCTGAGAACCTTACCAAATCTGCCTACATTTAATTACTTCTCTTTGCATTTGCAAAAGGGACAGCTTTTTCCTCCTTTCATTTGGTTTCACGCTCGCGTGTTCCATCGCCCTCGCTAGTTGTTTCTTGCGTGAACCATAGTTGATGTCATCTGTCTTTCATGACTCAGCCTCCCAATCCCAAGAGAAGATCCCTACCTCTCCCTGACTGGAGATCTGGCCTGCCAGAGGATCTCCTCGAGTCCATCGGGCAGCGTCTCGCGTTAGGCCACGACGCGGCGTCCTTCCGATCCGCTTGCTCCCCATGGCGCGCCGCCGTCCTGTTCGCGACCTTCGGGCCGCTCTTGCTACTCCCGTTCGACCCCGACTCGAACCGCGTCGGCTTCTACTGCGTCCCGGAGAAGAAGGTCTTGTCCAAGACGCTGCCCGACATGTGGTGTGCGGCTCCTCGTGTGGGTGGCTGGCGCTCATGGATGAGGCGGCGTCGTGTGACGCCGCTTGAATCCATTCGCCGGTGCCGTGCCCCCGCGTTGAGCTCCCCGCCAGCCAGCGAACACGCGTCAGCCGCGCGTCCTCATCGGAACGCGTGTCTAGGGTCCACGACCGGTGGGTCCTCCATCCCACCAACGGCTACGGGGACGCGGATGTCGTAGGCAGAGCCATCAAGCTAGAAGACACGAGGGACGTGTTCTTCCGTGAGATCGTGCTCTCGGCGCCGCCTAACGCCGCCGGCCACGAGTGCGTGGCCATGGCCATGCTTGGGTGCTCCACGGAGATCGCGTTCTGTCGGGTTGGAGTCGACAGCACATGGACGCTGCTCGACACCAAACTGGAGTTCTCCGTGGGGTCCATCATCCACTGCCAAGACAAATTCTTGGCGATCGACTGCACCGGAGAAATCTTCGTCTGCAGCATCAACGCCGTCAGCGCTACTCCAACCGCGACACTGCTACCATCGCTGCCGCCACCTGCGGGGCTCTGCCACCGCAACTACCTGGAATTAAACGGTGAGCTGCACATTGTGGGTGCCATGGTGAGCACGTTCCACGAGACACAGAGCTTCACCTACAGCAGCGCGATCTACAAGTGCAACCTCCATGATCGTACGCCGGAGTGGTCCAGGGTGAGGAATATCGGTGATCAGACATTGTTCGTTTCTAAACATTTCAATGAAAGCTTCAGTGAAACAAGTGTATCCAAGTACAAGAAGAACAAAATCTACATGTCTGAGCCATTGTATGGGGATCCATACGACTTGGTCCATCGACTGGAGATCGTTGATATTGCTACCAGCGCATCCGAAGTGAAGCCCGTCCAGGAAAAGATGCAGGGTTCCGAGGCTCTAGGTTGGATTCGACCCAATCTCTGGAAGCTCTAGAGTTTGTAACCCTACGACGCCACGCACTCCGTGACTGTGTTAAATTCATAAACTTTGCTTTTTGGATTAAATGTCTTTTTAATGTTGGTATTTAATTTAACAGTATTGTTATCTTATTGTGCGATCCGTGTGTTTTTAGTATAAATTGTTAGTTATCCCGTAGCAACGCACGAGCACGCTACCTAGTTGTGACAATGTATGAACCCCTTGCACATAGTCAGCAGCAGCATCTTCACTGGTCTTGTTCTTGCCAAGATTGACTCCCAAGATTCCAGGTCCTGCTTTTCCTCCTTGCTTTACGTCGCTGGTTGCAGGAGGCATGGAGCTTGAAGTTTCTTCCATCTTCCGCTTACCATGTTGTGCCCCAAGACGCTTAGCAACAACTACAATTCCTTCACTGTTGAATCCGCATCGGTTGATTACAGCACTTGGGAAGCAAAGAAAACAGCAGCATAAGAAACTAATTGGTACGCCATTCTGAATTTTCTGGAACTTGATTGAGATGAAACAATTTGATATCAGTAACAAAACACAAATACTTACCCATGCTCCTTTAATCTGAAAATTCAAGGCTTGGGATTTCCCTCTTGAGGAAGAGGTGTCACAGAGCCAACTTCCACAAAGCCAAATCCCATGCCTAAGAGACCTTCAACTGCCTCAGCATTTTTATCAAAGCCAGCAGCAAGACCAATTGGGTTTGCAAACTTCCTTCCCCAAACCTCTAGCCCAAGAACTGGTGGATCAGGTCTCTTTTCTCTAGGAACAAATCCATGGGCAGTAGCTTTAACAGCTAAACTATGAGCGAACTCTGCATCCAGCAGTGCAAATAGTGGGTTCACGAGTTCTGTCGACTTGAATAACCAGCCACTGCACGATTAGAAAGGGTTCAATGAAGGGGTACTCAATTAATAATGCTATAAATGGCTACAGCCTAATGAGCTTTCAAAAATACCAGTTAGTACAGTTTTTCAAGCACATAAGGGGGTGGTTCCACTATATTCCAAATAAAATTAGAACTAGTTCTAGATAATTAATAGTCAAGAGCTCAATATCACGCACCAAAACTTTCATTCATCTGCGGTACTCACATAAGCACTTCCACTCCTCCCGCAATGGCCAACGCTATCATGGCCCCAGTTAAAAGCCTTCCCTGCCACAGTGAAAATAACCACAAAAAAACAAATTAATGAAGCAAAACCCAAATAATAGGCAATGGAAGAAACCACAGTTAATTCATGAAGTTTTCTAGCTGCCTGCTTAATTAAATCCAATCTATGGTTGAGACCTCACAAAATCTTTCACAGCAAGGAATGCATTAAGTTTTTCAGTTGATTGGCATTGCTGGAAAGATCACATATTTTTTGTAACATGTTCAGACTCCCTGATTGAAGAGTCAGCCCTCTATTGTTGTGGTACGAAAAAATACTGATAGGAGATAGTTTTGGCATCACATCATGTCCATATCAAGACAGATTGTAAAAAACTGTGGCAAAAAGGCTTAACAAAAAGACATCTTTCCTAACGCAATGGGTTAAGCCAGCATAAAACATCCGACGAATCAGCAGCATCAAGCACAGGGAGGGCCGCTAAAAGTAGTAACGAGAAGCAAATAAGCAGCACGCCGACCACAAACTCAAAAGTTACCGCTCCTCATGCTAGCTAGGCAGCTTTGCTGAGAAAGAGAACGGGGGAGCTCAGCAAGATCACCGCACGTGACGTGTATGTCCAAATGCCGAGGAGACGGTGGCGGCGGTAACGAGCGCTGTTACCTTGCGGGGTGGCGGGGGCACCTTCTTAGGCGCGGCTGCGGCTGCGTCCGCCGCCGCCGCGCCGGACGCGGAGGCCGTGCTGGCGTGCCGCGCAGGAGGGCGTCGCGGAGGGTGCGGCGCCACGCGAGCGCCGCAGCGGAAGACGACATCGGGAGCGCGAGGGGGGAGACCAGGCGCGGGAAGGGCGGGAGGACTGTGGAGCGCGCGAGGTGGGCGGCGGCGGCGGTGATGCTATACAGAGGCTGAGCCGGGTCTGGGTCGGTGTGGGGAGCAAGCAGAACGGCAGGAGTGCGAGGGCTTAAGCGGGCAAGAAACAAAGACACGTTGGGTTGGACCCAGATACCATGGCCCATGGGCGCGTTTGATATCCGGCCCGTCGGCCTGGCCACGCCCTCCGCCGGTAACCACGCGTGTTTGATTTGCTGGACCCATCTTTGAGCCTATAGTTTTCCAAACGGGCCAAGACCGGCCCAGGCCAACACGACGCGGTACTATTTGGCCCGCAGACGAAACGCCCCGCCCGGCGACTCTGTGTGCCGTGCACGGGCGCGATGCCAACACGATGGCACGGCACGCCCGCTTGAGCGCCGGCACGCCGACCTCGAGCCGTGGATGGAGCCCCCCTTCTTGGCCGTTGGATCTAGGGGTCGGTGGGGCGGCTATATATATAAGCCGGCCATGCGCGCCGCCTCTCTGGCTCGGAGCCTTTCCAAACCCTATCTCATTCGTCATTCCGTCCCCTGTCCCCATTCCAGCCGCATCGAGCTCTCCGCCTCTCCCATCGACTGAAACCCTAGCCACTCTCCTCTCTTCTTCCCGCCGTCCGGTGGTCGGGTTAAGCGGCGATTCTTTACGGCACACTGCACACTTCTACACCACTCTTCCTTCTCCTTGGCCGTCGATGTAGCTTTCTCGTCGAGATCCACCACCGTTCATCTCCGTCTCTGTCTCGTCGCTCTCATCGACGTCGCCGGAGTCCGGCATCATTGGGGCTCCGCTCTGATGCGTTGAGGTACCAGGGTGTCGGGTCTCCGCGACGTCGTCGTCGCCGTTGTCTCTGGTGCTCCATCAAGAGAGGTGAGTCGTAACCCTAGATCTGTTCGTTTTTGTTCTTTTTCTTGATTTCTTCATGATCTTCTATTAACCCTAGGTGTTCTTGTTGTTCTTGGTTTTGGTAGGCGTTGGCGTTGAGGGACCGGAGGCCGGCACGGCGCACTGCACGCACGACCTTCTACACCACTCTTCCTTCTCTCCCGACCGTCGATGTAGCTTTCTTGTTGAGATCCACCACCGTTCGTCTTCGTCTCTGTCTTGTCGCTCTCATCGACCTCGCCGGAGTCCGGCATCATTGGGGCTCTCCGCTCGATGCGTTGAGGTACCGTGGTGTCGGGTCTCCATGACGCCATCGTCGCCGTTGTCTCTGGTGCTCCATCAAGAGAGGTGAGCCGTAACCCCAAATCTGTGCTCATTCATTGTTTTCTTCTTGATTTCTTCATGATCTTCTATTAACCCTAGGTGTTCTTGTTGTTCTTGATTTTGGTAGGCGTTGGCGTTGAGGGACCGGATGCCGATGACGACGAGATGTCGGACGAGCAGGAGGACATCGGTCTCTCCATGACCATCAACGACAAAGTCTGCGCCTCTGGGATGATCGAAGACGACGAGGACGATGTCATTTGGGATGCCGAGGAGCTCTTCGATCGTCGTCTTTGCCGAGGAACTCTATGGCCGTCTTCTCGACCCACTTCCTTCCCGTCGATGACACCGATGCCCTAACACCGGTGGCACCATCCGAGACGACGCCATTGCGATGATAACTCAAAGAAGACAGCCCTACCGCCTTCTACCTTAGTATGCTGGGAAGATTTTGAGAAGCTCACCAAGAAGGTAAATGGTAAGGTTGTCAGGTATGGCGCTCGGTATCTTCACTGTCGTAAGGAGTATTCTGCGTACTCTAGATTTGGAACTGGCCACCTTCTTCGTCATCAAGACTCTTGCCCTAAGAAGTGTGAGAAATGTCGCATGGCTCAGTCCCACATTACTTTCAATAAGGACGGTACTATGCGTAATTAGGAGTATTCGGCTGAGGTTGCTCGTGTTCAGCTTGTTCGTTTGCTTGCTAGGTTAGATCTTCCCCTCCGTCTTGGGGAAACCGAGGCCTGGGAAGATTACATAAAAGCTGCTCATAACCCTAGATACACAACTGTTTCTAAGCAAACTACATCTAGAGATCTTTTTAAGTACTTCAATGAAAAGCGTGATCGTTTGATTGATGATTTGAAGAGTAATGTCATTTCATCTGTTGCTATTACCTCTGATATCTGGTCTGGAAATGCAAAAGAAGATTATTTGAGTGTTGTTGGTCATTACATTAATGCTGATTGGCAACTTGAAAAAAGGGTGCTTGGCTTAAGGCTTATTGATGCATCACATAATGCTGATAACATTGTTGAACGTGTTAGTAATGTGCTTAATGATTATGGTATATTGAAGAAGGTTTTTCTGTTACTTTGGACAATGCCTCTGCTAATACTAAAGCTATGGATAAACTGAAACCTGTAATTAAAGAGTATTTGGGTGCTGATCTATTTTTGCATCAACGCTGTGCTTATCATATCATAAACCTGATTGTTAAAGAGACTCTGGTTGTTGTTAGTCCTATGCTTGATGCTTTCAGAACTGCTATATCATTCATTAACTCTTCTAACCAGAGAGTTGCTGCATATAAAAGCTATTGCATGGCATCTGGTATTAGACCTAGGAAGTTTGAATTGGACATGGAGGTTAGGTGGAACTCTACCTACCTGATGCTTAGGCATTTTCTACCACACAAGGAAACTTTCCATATTTTCATTGAGTCTAATTATCCTAGAAAAAGAGCTGACCCTTTCTTTTGACTCATGAGCATTGGGCTATGGCAACTAAAATACTAGAATTCCTTGAACTGTTTTATGACTCAACAGTTGCTTTGTCTGGTGTGTACTATCTTACTGTCCCACTTATGGTTCATCATATTGTTAAGATTGCTATATACCTGCATATGTATCAAAATGATGAGCATATTAGAACTGTTGTCCAACCTATGATTGATAAGTACAATAAATATTGGAGAACCATACCTAAACTTTACTGCATTGCATTTATCTTGGATTCAAGAGCTAAAATTAAAGGTTTTAACAAAGTTCTTAGGAAGTTAAATTTGCTTACTGATGCTGATTATTCTAATAAGATGGTGGAAACTAGAACTCTTCTTTTTAAACTGTATCATAAGTATGATAATTTGTATGGCTCTGTTAGGGCGAAAAGGCCTGACCCTCCAAGCCTATCTGGTAAGAAAAGAATAGTTTGGGCTAAGATATATGATGATGATGATGGTGGTGGTTTGCTTGGAGCTGGCTCTTCTTCTCTTCCTCCTAATCTTGATATGTCCAGGACTATTTTCTGCTACTACTTTGTTACATGCAGCAAGTTCATTTAACACCGGTTCTGAACTTTCAGCTTATTTGGACTGTGACAGTTAGCCAGATGGATGATGACTTCAACATCTTGAACTGGTGGCATCAGCATAAACTAACATATCCAGTTCTTTCTACCCTTGCTAGAGATGTTTTCAGTGTGCCTATTTCCACCATTTCTTCTGAAGCTACTTTTAGTACCACTGGCAGGATTATTGAAGACCGGCGGCGGAGGCTGAACCCTAAAACTGTAGAGGCACTCACATGCATTAAGGACTGGGAAGCTGCAGAGACAAGGCTACAGCATATGGTGAAGGATAAGGAGCTCGAGGAGGTCTTTGAACAAGTTTATCTTGATTAGTCATTTATGTAATGGTTCTGTAATCTTAAAACTTGGATGCTTTGGACCTTTGGTTGTGGATGTAATGAACAATTAAATTTATGGAGCTGGTTGCACTCTTTTTCCCTGTCTAGGGTTTTTCACAAGGGTGAGTTTTACTTAGATAGGTTTTTAATGAGGCAGCCATTACACAGCTCCTTTAATTTGGTATTTTGTTATCTCTGTCTTGTATTTTCTTCTGTGTGATTTCAGATTTATCAGATTTCATGTTTATTTTTGAACTGTTCTTTTGATTCTGATCTGTTGAAGTGATGATGTAATTTTAGTGCTAAGGCACGGCACTAGTCTGCTGGGCTGCCGTGCCTTATGGCACGGCACGACACTATCTGAGAGCTTTAGTGCCGTGTCTAGGCCAGAGTCTAGGCACGGTGGCACTACACGGCACGGCACGACAGTGACACCGTGCCTGATAGCGCCATACCCTGTACTGCTAGGCACTGTAGCAACCGTGCCACCGTTTGGAAAACTATATTTGAGCCTGGCCAGCACCGTGCAAATCCTCCTCCTCCTCTCTCTCTCTCTCCTGGCTCCTAGCAAACGCAAAAGAAGTCCGTTTCTCCAGAGCCTGGCTGGCTTCAGCGTCGATGAGTGGGATGGTGTTACCTCCTCTCACCCACCGCCCCCTTTCACGCGGCGTGAGCGCCGTCTTCGTTGTGCCTCTCACTTTCTCCTCCCCAGCTCTTCTTCATCCATGGACAGCTCCGCGCCGAGGCGGCCGCCGAGCTCGAGGGCCACGACGCGGCCAGACCGCGCGTCGCAGATGACCCCCGGCCAGAAGCAGTGGAGGAAGGCTATCTCCGCCAGTCGCCGACGAGGACCAGGACCTAGGAAGCGCCAAGCGGGACGGGAGCGGTGGTGGGGAGCTGTCGCCACGAGGGAAGCTGCTGACCAGCGTGAAGGGCGCCGCCGCAAATCAGCCACCGTGCGACGGACTCAACCACTCCTTCCTCGCGAGATGCCGCCGCCGCCCATGTGCTCCGCCTCACCGGCCACCCGTCGGTGGCGCCCGTGTCCCCGCCGCCCCGGCAGGAGCAGGTGTGGGCGTCCTCCATCTATGGCCTCGTCTCCTCCCTCTGTCCTCTCCTCCCTTCGTCCTGGCAGAGCAGACCCCATGGGTGTTCGATGAAATGACCATAAGGAGAGAGCAAGGAAAGGATGGTGATAAGGCTACCACTTCCTTGATGCGAGGTAACCATATCTACTAGAACTGGAAAACAAACATAATCCCTATCCAGCCTGGCTCATTTGGTCCAGTGAAACAAACAAGTGTGGTTGTGGGAGCCGGGCTAAAGCTGGCCACGGCCAGGCCAGCCGGCCATGCCAGACAGGGGCAGGAAATCAAACACGCCCCATATGATATTGCATGGGTCTCGGTCCAGTTTGTCATGGGCGGACCCAGATATGTGGATGTGGTAGTTTTCGCCAAAATTCAGATTTCAGCCCATATAGGGAGGAGATTTAACAGCAATTTTCTTAGTGGCCCGTACGCCATACCCTA